TGGCACTTAGGAAGGACTAAGTGACACCTCACGGGGCTTAGTCTGGTTCAGACAAGTCTGGAAAGCAAAGATCAAAGGAAGAGCGACCGCATGTCTGGCAACAGTGACAGGAGAAGTGAAGCCACTGGGCGGTGGGAGAGGTTTCAGGGACGGCAACTGAGGACCAGTGGCGTGTTTTCCCTCCTTTCATTGCTGTCTCTACTCAGGTCCCCAGCACTAACTTCCCATGGGTACCAATGCAATAAGGACTCAGAATTAAAACTGGGGGCCAAGGAATTAATTAAGACGCTCTACATAAATTAACCATCCAAGGCCACAAGTGAGGCAGGGCATGTGTGCTGTGACAAACTGATTCTGAACTTTAAAACACTTGACTGAAGGAGTAAGAAAATGTCAAGAATCGTAAGAAGGCTCCACAGGAGCCATAAACTCAGTCAAGCTTTAGGGAAAGGCCGCTGGTGGGAAATCATGACAATAAAAATGAAACAAAGTTTTAAAGCAGGAGAAAATCCAAGGAGCAGCTGTCCGAAGGAAAAGTCTTGAGCTCAACCATGGCTGTGAATTTTCAAAGGCAAGTGAAGCCCCTGGAGGATGTGGTGACCTGCATCCTGACCCTCTGCCATGACTCCTGCTATGCCGAGTCACCTCAGGGGCTGTTCCTGCAGGTCCCTGGTGGTAGCGGACAAGAAAACCTGTTTTCTCTCCACCAGGTGTGGCTTGTTCACCACTAAGTCTGGAAAGCAGGAGGGGAGATTTGAAACAAATGCAGCGGAACATGTCACCTGCTTGGCTCACCAGTACATAATGCTGAGGAGAGGGGGTCCTGTGGGCTTCTAACATGTTCTCATTCCCCTGTGGCACTTTTGGAAGACAAAATCAGAAAGGAAGCTGGTGGTTATTTTGTATGTTTCAGACAGAGGCAGGCAAGATGGAGAAAAGGGCGTGTTTGGCTGGGACAGATGGCACAAGACGGCTCTAGGACAACTGGAAAGGTTTCATGCTGATGGCCTATTAAAGCTGACCTCTCACTCCACAGGCCTCTGGCTTTGGACTGCTTCCTGTGGCTCTGGTAGAAATTGCATAGTTCGGAGCCAAGGGAAGATGAGGAGCCCTAACGAGGAAGAAGGAGGGACAGACGGTGAACCCCCATCTCCTCCACAGACTGACTCGTCAACAAGAGTGGCTAACAGTGAAAGCCACCTGCTTCCCAGGCAGGCCACGTCCTTCCGTGAGTCCGATCCTGCTGAGATCAGTACTGTGCCCTGACCGCCCATCGGCACCCATCCAATCTTATCCTCAAGAAAACCCACCCAGGACCTTGGCTCTGATGCCCAAGGCTATTCTGGAACCTGGAGAACCAGGAAGGGTGCAGGAGAAACTGCCAGGTCTGGAGAAGGAAGAAAAAGTGGACCAGGGGTGATCGGAGATTTGTGAGTATAAGACCCGAGATCAGAAAAGCAGATGAGGCCGAGAGATGTGGAAAGAGTGGGAGAGTGCAGCGTCGCCAATACCTGTGTCTTCACGAGGGCTGTATTTCAGCTAGTCACAGAAGACAGAAAGGCAGTACAGTGGACAGCAACGAAGAGAGAAGGAAGAAGCAGAAAGATGTCCTAAAACAATATATATTTCATCCAGTAAACTCTTGTGAAACATAAAAGCATCAATTAATCAGTAACCTGGTGAAGCTAATGTTACATTACATTGCTCCCCTGCCCTGATTAGAAGTGAAGGCAGATGGGGGACAGAATCAACCAACTGCATCCAGGGGGCTTCCCCTTTCACTTCCAAGCAGTATCTAGTAATGTAAGGCCACAGGAGGAGGGTCAAGGCTCAGCAGAGAGATGGGACAGACCCCCACTAGATTAGGTAGTCAGAGACAAACAGCACCCAAGTAGCTCTAGACACAGAATAGAAGGACTATCCTGAAGCTTCTGGGTTTTGTTTGTCTTCTTGGTAGGCGAAGAGGACTAAAGTTTGTGGAAAAGTTGGAAAAGATTGCTATTTCATACATCAAAGGCAGTCTTAGATTCTCCATAAGGGAAAGCTTAAACCTGGATTTAGGAAGGGCAAGGGATAAATAAGCAGCTACTGGGAGGATAGTCCTGAGTCCACAGAGTGGCTGGGGATGACTCCCTGGGAGTTATGCTCCCTTTACCTAGCAGGAAGTGCCATGCTGGTAAGAAACAAGAAGGTAACAGCCACAGCTCAGTGGGAAGAGAGGGAACTGAAAACCCCAAACCTAGAAGTGCAAGAGTTAGTGTTAAAAGAGACAGGTACACGTGCATGAGGCAGGGCTGATTGTTCGGACCACCTGGAAAGGCCTTTGGCTATAGGTACATCAGAAACCCCCCACGTGGGGGATGAACTCTGTGGCTCGGGGGCTGGGTGGCCCGAAGTACAGGTGACAACCGTACATGACCATGTAGCTGAAGAAAAAAGCCCCACATCTGTCCATTACTCACAACACACAAGTTTCCCCTCCATATTCCCATGTCCAAGGCAGATGGGAGGGGGATAAGATGACATCTCTCTTGGCTCTTGGGCGGGCAAGCTCTGACGGGGACCTCTCCACCAGGGAAGGCATCATCTGCCTGCAGACTGGGACTGTGGGGTCATGATCACATGCGACTGCATCGGCATGCTCAGTTCTGTCCTTTGGCTGGCCATCTGAGTAAGGACCGAGGTGGCCACGGCTTCGGCAGCAGCGCGAACACTAAGGCCGTTGCTCGGGGCTGTGGCTGAGCTGTGCTGAATCACAGGAGCTGGCGAACCTGTTGGCTCTGAGCTTTCTTTGGGGCTTTCTGTCAGGAAGGAGGGCAAACATCAAACGGTTAGAGAACAGAATGGAGAAAGAGGCAGGACTACCTGTGCCCAAATTCTAAAAAAGCCCAAAAGAAAATAAAGCTTATCTTTTTCATTCCCTTTTTTGAGAGGGGGGATGGGGGAGGGAGGGAGGTGAGGAGTCCTGGCTTCTAAGGGCCAGGAAATGGAAACATGGCAGAAACGAGAACTAGGACAACATTAACAGATCCTGATCAAGAAGGAGCCCAGGTGGTTGGCTCCGTGGGGAAGCACTCAGCTGGGAACTGACAGTTCAAACCCTCCCTCTCCTCCAGGGGAGAAAGGTGCAGCGTCCGCTTTCCTAAAGATTAAACCCAAACCAAACCCACTGCTGCCAACTCGATCCCAACTCCGTGACCCCTCAAGTTGGAGTGGAACTGCCCCCCAGGGTTTGGCTGTGGCTCAGTACAGAAGCAGGCTGCCTCATCTTTCTCCCACACAACGGCTGAGGGGCTCAAACTGCTGACCTGGTCAGTAGCCCAATGCTTCACCTGCTATGTCACCAGGGCTCCTTTCTGTTAAAATGCAGAAGCAATGGGCTTGGGGTTTTGGGTATCCTAATAAAGCAAGGCCCCAACATGTTCATTCCATGCCCAGCTTCTATGTCTGTGCATGGTCCATTAGAACACTGTTTCCATTTGGAACGCTTTTCCTCTTTTCCACAACTTTAAAGATTTTAGAGAGATCTCTTTTTAGCCATTTTCTTTCATTAATTCCTATAGGAATTAAGCCATTCCATGTTGAAAAAAATTTTAGCACGTAGTTCAAGCCAGAGCTAAGCCTGATAAATATCGAGCTACAATCAAATGATGGCTAAGGTGCTGTTAACACAGCAGTGAAGAGGCTTGTTTGGTCTTCCTGACGATCAATCAGCTAGGCGTTAACTGATTTAAAACATTTATTTGAGCTATGTCATTACACTTAAACTGACAATAACATTTTACTGGTAGATACAAATATTTGAGGTGCAAAAACCAGGTAAGTTCATATTACTCATTAATCAAGAAGTTTAATTAAGAATCAGATAGCCACTCGCAATAAAACACACTCAATCGATGTATGGATTATTGTAAGAGCTGTAAGAGCCCTGGATAGAATGATTTATTAAAATTAAAAACAAAACAAAACATCACACTCATTGTCACTGAGTCGACGCTGATTCATGGCGATACTTACAGGACAGGGTGGAACTGCTTCTGAGTTTTCAAGACTACCAGAGTAGAAAGCCCCATCTTTCTCCCTTGGAGTAGCTGGTGGTTTTGAACTGCTGCCCTTGAGGATGGCAGCCCAACACATAACCACAACACCACAAAGGATCCTTTCAGAAGCCTCTGTGGCTTCTTAAAAAGAGATGTGAGGAATAAAGGAAACCGTCTTGGTGAATGCTCGAGCCTTCTTCAGGAGTCAGACAGTACTTCTGTTGTGCTTTCAGACATGCATTTACTTACTCTCAAACAGTGAGCACTATTCATGTGCAAGGTAGGAAAAACCGGGACCTGGTCTTCAGGAAGCCTCCAGTCTAGGACCTCTCTGATAGGGCCCTCCACACTTAGCCCGTGCACTGGTTTACAAGTTCATATCCCCATAGCTCTCTGAGTCTTACTAGCATTGGAACTCATCTTTGTTGTACCTACCCACCATAATGTCTATACTACACAGCAGGAACGCAATACATCTTGGCTGTAAAACAAGTATGTAAAGTTAAATGGATTGGCTACATGTCACAGGTCTTGTAGGGAATGAGTAGAAAATTTAATATGTACATGGACTATATACTGATAAACACTCAGTCCTTGTCCTGGTTGACTTATCAACAAGACGTGAAATACGTCATCACTGGACTTCCTTAGCCAGCTCCCTATCTTCCGCTCTTGTTTCTGGGCACACTGCACTCGGCCAGTTCCCTCTAGGAACCTTTCTGGCTATTCGTTCTCTGTCTCTTGTGGGTTCTTTCTTGTCTCTGATCTCTTTGGAGTATAGCAGGGTTCAGGCCTGGGATGACTTCTTCTGCTGCGGCTTCTTTTTTCCCTCCTTTCTATCCTTCTACCTTGGTGATTTCCTCCAGCTACATGGCTATAAAAACGGACTTCCTTGGAGCTGCTATCTCCAGCCTTTCCAATGAACTGTGGGCCCAGAAAACCAGCTGCCTGCCTACACCTCCACCTACACACCTGGCTTCTTGAACTCAAGTTGTCCCAAACTGAGTTCCCTTATATACCTTCCACATCATCTCAATTAATGTCAGCTCCAGTCTTGCAGCTTCTGTCATGCCAAAACATAGGCTGTAGTGTTGTATTCTTCTTTCTCATGTGTACTGCCCCATCCGGCCCATCATAAAACCCTGCCATTTCTCCTACAAAATGCATCCCAGTCAGCCACTGCTCAACACTTTCACTATTCCCATGCAAGTCAAAGCGCCACCGTCTCTTGCCTGTACTAGTGCGATAACTCCCTGAGTGGACTGCTTCTGCCCTGGCACCCTGCAGTTTCAGAGTGCACCTGTCCAAAGGTCACTTCAGTCCAGTCCTCTCCTGCTGGAACGCTCTGGTAGCCCCACTGTAGCGCGCAGGCTGCTCCTCACTGTGGCCACGACCTCTTCTACCTCAGCGTCAACTACTCCACCCGGTCCTCTCCAGTCCAGCCACACTCACCTCCTGGAAGCCCCCGGGTCCTCCTTGGTCTCTGCATTTGCTGCTCCTGCTCCTGAAGTATTTTCATATAAATGCATGGCTAACGCCCCTCATTTTTGTTAAGTCTTTGTCCAAAAGCCACTTCACCTAAAATTCCAACACTACTGCTTTATAATTTCTTCCCAGCATGCGCTATCATCTAACATACCATACAGTTTGTCTAATTACTATCATCAAACATACCATATATTTCACCTATTTATCTCGTTATCGTGTGTCTCTCCTACTAAAATATAAACTCCTCAAGGGCAGGGATTTTAATCTAATCCACTTGGTTCCCTATTCTATCCCTGGCATGTGAACCAGTGCCTCGCACAGAACAGGCGCTCAGTAAATATTAGTTTAATGAATGAATGTGCCCCGGGGGACATATTAAAATTTAAGTACAGATGTTTAAAGCTGGTGATATGGTTACTCTTTTCCTACAGGAACACACCTCGGGAATGATAAAGACAGCCAGTGGAAGAATAAGCCACCATGCCAAATGGGAAACCCAACACTTACATGAATGTATTTACTCTGCACAGGGAAACTAGCATTTACTAACTTTTATTGTCCATCAGGGATTCTTCACAGTCATTTAAACTTTGGAGTTGAAGTTGAGTTGAGCACAACTCTGTGGTCATCTCGATATGCGCACCTTTTATATGTGTGCACAAGTGATGAAATGAACCATTATCAGCCTCTCCTTACACACAGAAAATCCTAATGCTTTTGCTGTATACATTTTCTCCAAGCCGAGATAGTGTCTTTGGAATCAGGAAGGCCTGGGTGTGAATCCTGGCTCCGTCCTTCAGCTGCTTTCTCCTCTGCAAGTGGAGGCAACATCTACCTCATTAGAGGACTGGGAAGATGGCAGACTGTCTAACACAACGTAGGCACTTCACAGACCCATAGGGGCTGCTACTCTTCATCCCCAACGATGATGATAAATAACTAAGATAATCTTTACAAGATTGTATTCTTCTGGGACGGGGCAGAGCAGAAATGATTGCTTCCTCCACAAAAACTAGCCCCTTACCTATTTGGACTTCCCAGAACATTTGGGCTGCGATCTACAAGGTGCACAGTCCCAAACTCCCAGTGATTCCTCAGGAGAAAAATGGAGCTGTCTATTCTTGTAAACAGTATGGTTTTGGAAACTCACCAGGGCAGTTCTACCTTGTCCTATAGGATCACCATGAGTTGGCATTGTTGCATAACTGAGTGTAAAATGATTCCGTGAGACGCAGTACCTGCAGTTTACTGTCTGGCTGCCCCTATTCGGCTCTGAGCCACTCACCGAGATAGCCTTGGGTCTTCTTCTGTAGTGCAGTCACTGGGCAATCCTTATGAGCTAACAACAGCTGCTTCAATTGAGCCACTTCATTGCGCAGTAATGTGACTTCGTTCTGAAGAAGGAAAGAGTATCAAGGAAGCTCGTTATCCACTCTTTAACCCCCAGCAACTGTCAGAAATGTGAGGACAGTATGTTGCCTGAAGTTCCTCCCTCAGATACAGCAACAACTCAGGACAAGGCCAGCATGGTCATGAATTTCAAAGATCACTGGTCAAAGGCAAGGTTTGACTTAATAGGGAATGACTACTACTATTTAGGACTACTATGATTGTAGAAAATCAATAACGCATATGTCTTTTGGCTAAAGAAACCTACTTCCGGGAATCCATTTAACAGAACTATCTAATCAAGGGCAGACAACGTCCATGGTAGCATTGCTGTCCTATCAAAAAATTAGAAATATTCTAAATATCTGTACCTTATAATATAGCATATTATGGAATACATCAAATAGTTATTAAAAACAACGATGAGTTCTGTACATATGACTAGAACCCCAGGACATACTGTTCAGCCATTGCTATTAAAATAAATGCACAATTCCCCCTCGTCCCTTATCAACATTATAAATGAAAGTAGTAGAGAAGTGCATTCCCATCTGAGAGGCACACACCACACTGATCTCCAGCGCAGAGGATGAGACGGGAATGCAGACTGAAGAGGGCCTTTGTTTCATAGAAACTTTTTTTTTGGTATTTTTCTGTCAAAAATTTTTTTTGGATCATCGTATTAGGGGCTCATACAACTCTTATCACAATCCATACACACATCAATTGTGTAAAGCGCATTTGTACATTCATTGCC